AGCTGCTTTCAGAGTATAATTTCTATATCTGATACTGTTCAGATTAGCTTAATCTCATCAATACACTGTCTAAATAACTCAATTATAATATCATTAATGCAGAGAAGAATTCTATAAAAGAATCTCTATTATCACTGCAGAAGAAGCTGACTGCAGAGAGTTAAGATTCTCTGAAGCTTAGAAACAGTGCTGATAAGACAGCTGTGCAACTCAGTATAGAAGGTAAAAGAGAATCTGAGTTCTCACAGAGAACTGATACTGAAGATCATGAGCTTCTCATGTCATATCTTATAATTATTGAATTAATAAAGAATAAAACAGTCTACAACCTTTCAATCTGACCACTTTTAAAATTTATTAATAAATTATAGAAGAGAGATATCTCTACTACAGTCTGAATTCAGAAGTTGAAGAAGAAAGAATTCAGTTTAAACTTGAAAGAGACAGACTCTGAGCAGAGCAGTGCTGCTAAGAAATCAAGTTACTGATAACTAGAAGAATATGAACTTCTATTACTAAATAATTCAGTCTTCATTTCTTATAGTAGAGTGATGTGTCAGAAGTTATTGAGAATTTATTATAATAATTCTCATACAGAGTACTTTAGATTAGAGAAGACTGAGAAGCTTCTAAAATATAAATATATTTAAGACAAGCTTCAGACAGATGTCAAAGAGTATATTAAAACTTATAATATCTATCAAAGAATAAAGATTCTGCAGTATAAGTAATACAGTGAGTTAGTATCACTGTCTGTTTTAAAGAGCTTATGACAGAATCTATCAATGAATTTTATAGTTGATCTGCTGAAGTTAATAAGAGTCAAAGAATATGACTTAATTTTAATTATTATTAACTGCTTTATGAAGATAATCAGATATATCTCTATTTATAAAAAGATTAAAGCCTCTGAATTGACTGATCTATTTTTAGATATTATTATTCATGATCACAGTGCTTTGAAATCATTGATAATAGATTAAGAATTTCTCTTCATCAGCAAGTACTGATCAGCTTTTTACTATTATTTTATAATAAGATGTCTTCTCAGTACTGCATTTTATCTGCAGACAGATGATCAGACTGAATATTAAAATCAGATACTAAAATAGCATCTTTAAGTATTCTATTTATATTATCAGAATGATTGACTCAAACATCTTCTAATCACTGAATTCATATATAATAATGTAAAGAATGTAATTATAAAGATATCTTCTTTCTATACTTATTATAAATATAATTCTTTGTTACTCAGTGACATCATGAATAACATTTCAAAGAGAAAAATAGACAGTCAGAATATTAAACAGATACAGAGAACAGAGTATCTCTCAGTATCAGAAGTAAAAGTGAGATTAAAACTTTTAAATAAAATTTATAAGAAGATAGTAAAAAGCATTCATCATGCTCAGAAGTAGTAGATAAAATACTATAATTAAAAACATCTTTCAATGAAGTTCTTAATAGAGAATTAAGTACTACTTTCAGTAAAGAATATCAAGATAATAAGATTATATAAGAAGCTCAGTGAGTGATGACTAGAATCTTTCTCAGTAATAAGAGTAATGAATAAACAGATATATATAAGTTAAAATTACTCACAGAATTGAAATCAATTCATTCTATTTTTTACATTTTCTATTTGAAGCTCTATAAGTAATACTTTAGAGTGAAGCTGTCTCAGCTGAATAATATTAAGATTGAGAGTGATACTGAATATTTTATAAAGAAAATATTGAATAAATAAACATATTATAGTAAGCTTCAATATCTTGTGAAATGAAAAGATTATTCATTATCAGAAAATTTATAAGAACTGTTTAAGTATTTGAAAAATACTGAGAAAGAGATTGTAAGCTATGAGATAGCTAGTAGAGACTGCTCTATTACATATCAGAGATATTGAGTAAGAAATACTGCTTAAAACTTCTTATTTTTTCTCAAAGAGTTTTTAGAGATAATCTTATAATAATGAGCTGATATCTTGTGAGCTCTGTAGCACTCTTCTTCTATTTTCTCTTAAAGAGTTTTTTAAGAGTTTAATGACACTATATAAATGTAAAATTCCTGAAGTAGTTAGAGAGAAGAAATATTTAAAACTAATAAAAAAGATTAATATTATTAATCTATGAGTCACTGCTATTCTAATGAGACTGCAGCTCACTGAAAAGATAAAAAGAGAGATCAGAGTCTACTCATTAATAATCACATTCTTATTAAACTTATTCTTCACTGTTGAAGTCTTCAGTATCAGTATCTTTATCTACTGAGAAGTTAGTACTGTAGTACTGCAGAAGAGTATAAGAAATGTATAAAATATTAACTTATTAACTTATAAAGTATCTCAGTTATCTGCTCTAATTGAAGTGAGATTCTCTTTAATCAGTAATTAATCTCTGTAGCACTTTTAATAGCAGTACTAACTGATCTCTTCTTAAGATCAGTCATTCTGAGATGTTTTTTCATCTTAAAGATTCACACTTTTATCTTCTTTTACAGATAAGTAAGAAGAATCTTCTCAGTCTTGATAGAATCTATTAATACTTGAAGCTCTGAGACTTTTACTCTGTACTGCTTAAGCATCTGAGCTTCTTATCAGAGCTGACATAACATCTTCTTGTAAAGTAGATAATACTTATAGAGAGATAGAAGTTGTTGTTATAGATGTAACAGAAATAATAGAAGTGAGAGAAAAAGTAAGTGTATAAAATCCCTCTCTTCTTCAGCTGCTTAGTGCAGTGTAGATAAGTAACAATGCTGATCAGAGACTGCACTGAAGCCTTCTCACAGAGAGAAGATAAAGAAACTATAAAATTCTGTAGACTCAACTCAGCAGTATTCTGAGCAGAGCTCAGATATATTATAGAAGAGAAACTACAGATTAAGCTTTTCAGAGCTACTATTCTCAGAATCAAGCTCTTTTCAGAGTTCTCTTTAAATAATCACACAGAGTCATATATCACTGTGTTGATTAAGAGAAAGAGCAGCATCACAACAGAGAAGAGAGAGAAGAAAAGAAAAATATTTCACAGAGAGAAAAATCTTTTCAAAAAATTCTATCACTACTGTTAACTTTGTCTCTAAAACACATCACTTTTGCAGGGAATTTCATACATAGAATGAAATATAATGAGTGATCTGCAAGTTACTTATTAACTACATTTTTCACATTTCAAATTAATATATAAGAAACTCACTTATCACATGTTTAATTTGAATGAAGATGGAAAAAGAAAGATCTACACAGTCAGCAGAAAAACTCATCTATTTCTTTGTATCACATGCAGCACATACACTATTAAATCAGTTAATAATCATTGCTATACAATAAAGATAATTTCTAATTCAGTAATCTTAAGAGTATAGAGACTATACTCTTAAAGAGAAGAGTATTATCACACTTCTAATTATATCAAGATCTCACTGCAGTTTTACACAGCTCATCACTTTCATGCAGATAATTTCATTTTATTTAAACCAGTTTTCAATCACTCTATAATATTATTCAGATATATTATAGAAAGATCTGATTAATAAATATAAGAATCTCACTTCTATATAAAATCAGCAGATTACTTTTTCTTAATAATGAGATACTGCTGAGATATCACTTCAGCTATTCTCACTTATAAAATAAGAGAAGAGTATTCACTTATTATCTATATAGAATAGTTAGATACTGACTTCTTATTAAAGAAGTCAGTGATTTATTTTTTCTTCTATTAAAATATATATAAGAGTTACTACATGTCTTATACAATCTTCTTAGTATACTAAGTATTATATCTGTGATATTCTCATAATAACTCTGTAGTCTACAAGCTCACTATTTAAGCAAGATAATTAAGCTCATTTATACAGCTTCTTAAACAACTATCTCTACATGACACTGCTAACTAGCTACTACTTCAGTTCCGTCACATTACACCTTACTAAGTGCGTCACTTGATCTCATTATATAAGCTGACCTTGTAAATGTGACCCGTGTCACTATCTAATCTCACTCAATACATCTTTTCTTATAATTTGAAACTACTCTTTCTTTCTTAATTATTTACCATCAATTCTACAATCAATTCAAAATCAATTTAAAATCAATTTAATACTGAAATTATTCTTGAATTTAATAATAAAGTAAGTGTTTATATAATTTACACTGAATTGATTATTAACTGATTTTCAATCAATTATTAATTACTTAAATATACAGATTGAATTTATTTTATTACTATAATTAATTAACAATTAATTCAGAATCAATTCAAAATCAATTCAAAATCAATTTAATACTGAAATTATTCTTGAATTTAATAATAATACTGAATTGATTATCAACTAATTTTCAATCAATTATTAATTACTTAAATATATAGATTAAATCTATTTTTATTACTATAATCAATTCAGAATCAATTTAAAATCAATTTAAAATCAATTTAAAATTAATTTAATACTGAAATTATTCTTGAATTTAATAATAATACTGAATTGATTATCAACTGATTTTCAATCAATTATTAATTACTTAAATATATAGATTAAATCTATTTTTATTACTATAATTAATTCAAAATCAATTCAGAATCAATTTAAAATCAATTTAAAATTAATTATTAAATATTTTTATCTTGATATATTTTAAAATTCTGTAAAATATCTCTTTATATTCTATATGAATTTATCTGTTTATTTAATTGATTATGAATCAGCTATACATGCTTTGATTGGTTGATGAGCTGAATGAATGAGTGAATTGAAAGGTTGAAAGTCAATTATCAACTGATTATTACTGTATTGTGCGAGGTCAGGGTCATGATTATGTAACAAGGTCAAGTGGCGCACTTAGCGAGGTCAAGTTTTCTGTATACACTCCGTACGCTGTGGCGCACTCACTAGAGAGAGTGAGTAAGCATGGCACGGTTAGGATGTGTGATATGGCTCGTGCTCTCCAAGCGGTTATAAACTTCCATTAGAGCCTGGGCAATGCCCATCTGTTTGTTGCGTCAATGAGGGGATATGAGCTAGAACAATTTCCAAGGTTTGTGCACAACTTCCTTCCGACATCTAGCCATTCCGCATGGGATTAGGAACCCTTTCTACCGTTGAGTGTGTGGGAGAATGAGATCATCATTGTCAGAAACACTGATGTCAACGCATACGACCTCTAGTTATCGAAGCGTTATTCTGATTTTGCAGAAATTCAGATTATTGAACACTTTTTTGTGGTAGCTTCCGTAGGTGTTGGAACCACTCTTCCATGTTCCACCTATTTCCGTATGGCATTTTGACTTTTGGAAATCAGTCATTCAAAGAGGGAAGTTAGAAATCGTGACGGTCCCGACCTAGAGGAAGCTCCCGAGCTCGTTCTACCGGATCTGTCAGAGCACAATGTAGACTCTTCCGACCGACACATGAGCGCCCCTTGCCTTCATTTTGGAGGCTTTGTCCTTGGAGAAGTCTATTTGGGCGCAGAAATCATTTGGTAAGGATTTGGTAACCACCTTTTATCCACCGAGACGATCCCAGACTCCTCAAGGCCGATTTGGATCGGGGCCGGACCAACCGATTGAGCTGCAATGTTACCATACATAACAGCTTCGCGGCGTGGAATTTAGGAGGCTTTTGACGAGAAGTTAAAAAGACAAACAAATCCCGAGTTCCCACGCCTTGGGGTTTGCTATCTTTGTTTGGTTCGACCAACAATAGCGAAAATGACCCAATTTGAAGATGTCAGCTATTGAACTCAAAATGCATTTTGTCGTTCGCTTGGCACGATTTCTTTTGGGTTTTATCAATCTTGATTCCAGACTCCCGAAAAGGCCAATTGCATACCTGTTCCACCACATTCGGCTTGGCTCTTCTTTTCAGCGAACAAAGAAATGATATCAAAATGCTCCTGCACAATGGCTGACTTTTTCCATATCCGTGCCATCCAATTCTAATTAATTCCTGGGGATAGGAACATTGCTTTTGCGACAAGAGTCATCCGATTCCATGGACAGAGAAGATTTTGTTCAGGAACGTTTCATTCAAACTTGTAAGTCCCATTCAATCATTTGATCGTTGAGCTAAGCCTAGGAAGGAGTGTACGGATTCCGTTGAATTAAGGCGCATTTTTTCGGGTGATCAATGTTTTAATCCGGCCAACTGCCATTTCTAAATGGTGGCTATGCAAACATCTTCAGAAGGCTCTTTTGATTGAACACAGAGTGCGTCCTTGGTTGCACAGGTTAATGGATGCCGGCATGGCCCGGGGCGCATATACTGACAAAAGAAATGCCGTGCTGATCAGCGGTTGTCCTGTGTCCAGTGCATAAACGTCTCATCGTTGGGTGATAGCAAAGCCATTTCAAAACAAAAAGTGCAACAGCATCAGCATGCCCAGAACAGCCATAAGGAATTGAGTACCTTTGAGTTGATGCCTTCCTTTGCACAAGGAAGGGTATTGAAGGACATAAATAGGTACAGTCACATCATCGCATGCAGCTTAATACTTCCTGGGTGGTGGGCAGATATTCTGCGGATGAATACAGCGTATGCAAAGAAAGCTCCCACCTAGCGGTGGAAGTTGCAGGTTCAGGTCACGAGACATGGAGCAGTTTTGGTGGTTGATGCCTTCGACCTGGGGACAAGTTCTAACACTTTCCCCTTTGAGATTAAGCTTTTGCCCCGGGTCTTGGCCAGTCACAGCCTTGGCGTGGTTAACCTTTTCAACAGAGCCGCAGCAGCACAAAGACTTCATGGTAATTCCAGCGATCCAACACACATCATTGCATCCCTAAAGAAGAGGATATACTAACATTGTAGGCATATATGCGTGCATTTCTCTTATCTGTCCCGTGAGGTAAATCCGAACCGTATACCCCAGCTCCTTTGTGTATACTAACATAGCAAGCGCACCCCTTTCAGGTTCCATAGCGGAAAATTCAAGTCAAGCAAGAGGCCAGACTCTCAGAAATCCTCAGGGTAGTTCGTTCAGTTCTGTCAAGAACGAAGACTACATGCTCTTGCACCCGAATATGTAACCCTGAATTGGCAAATCCGCGATGTATGGCGTACCAGTCCTTTCACAATCACAATGGGCAATTCCCAAAGCCGAAGCAAAACCATCAACCCTGATCGTCATCCGTTTCAGGATGAGAAGCTACGGATTTCCGATATCAGAGGGCCAATATCTTGGCTGAATCCTACACATGTTGTCTCCAAACCGTTTTCTTTTGTGCATGCTCAAGAACACCCACCTGCTGAGAACATACATCCCACTGAAGATCAGCAACGACATGAAAGGAGAGTGAAAGGAGATGTCAGATACAAATGGAGGTCACGAGATAACAGAAAGGGTAGACATGCACTAATAGTTGAACGTCCAACGGAGCCGGGAAAAGGTGTACACATCGTACCCAAACGGACGGACTCCTTTCAGGCAACGCTGAGAGGCATCAAACGCATGGCAGTGCAATACCCCTATTGGGATATCTCGTATGTAACAGCAGTGGTTTTCGCGTTTGGTTCCATTGTCTGGGTCATAGACTCATTCTTTGTTTTCCTACCACTTGTCCAACCAAAGTCGGAATTGAAATACGAAACTTTGAGCGCAGGGGGAGTGTCAGCCTTCGTGGGCGCAACAATTTTTGAGGTGGGAAGCATTTTGCTCGTACTAGAAGCAATCAATATACATGACACTGGCTGCTTTGGATGGGCGCTGGAACATGTCTTATCAGAGAAAGGTGAATCCCTGCTTCGAATTTACCCTGATCCGAAGAACTGCACCCACCATCATGTAAACAAGAGAAATCTTGTAGGACGGGGTGGGAGGGAAACACCAAGTATCGACGACTCGTCTGGTGAGCTAGCTCAATCGACCACAGAGGTTCCTAGGTCACCGAATTTCAAGTGGTTCCCAACACTGAGAGACCTTCGAACTCATTATATTTACGAGCTAGGCTTTCTAGCTTCCTCGGCTCAACTTATCGGGGCTACAATATTTTGGATAGCTGGCGTTACCGCTTTACCTGGGATTAACAACCATCTTAGCGAAAATCTGGCCGACGGCGTGTACCGGGCCTCTCAGATAATAGGTGGAGTGGGATTTATTATGAGCTCGTAAGTTTTCGAAATCAGGCCTGCCAGTTTCCCGTCCACCCTTCAACCCGTTGTTCGAGAATTGTCTTCTCACACGGACATAATATCTAACATTCTTTCTAGGACGCTATTCATGCTTGAGACGCAGAAGAACTGGTACACTCCGGCTCTTCGAACACTGGGATGGCACATTAACCTCTGGAATTTTATAGGTTCAATCGGGTTCACTGTTCGTTTCGCTTTTCTTTTTGGCACTATCTCTACTACCTCCGTATAGAACTAACAGAAATACCCACTCCGGAATCCAAAACAGCTCTCTGGCATTTTTCTCCTTGCATATAACAACTCCGGTTTACAATATCAGGCCAGTCTCTCTACTTTCTGGGCTTCATGGGCCTTCTTGATCGCTTCGGTAATTCAGTGGTATGAGAGCTTGGATAAGTACCCCGTCGAAGATAGGGGAGCACTAGTTGAAGGGGAAAGTGATATTCATGCAAACGCGGGATAGGTCGTTATTACGTTGTATATACGATTACCCGGATTGATATGGAGGCTGTGGATTTGAATTTTCGATTATCCTACGATATAATACGGAGGATTTGACTAGTCATTCAACAAACGTTCAGGGATACGTTGCCACACAAAATAACTATGGCAGAACCCAGCGAGAAGTCAAAAAGGGAAGAAGTTGCAAAAAAAGTTTATACTCAAGATCTGTTAAATCTATTTGGTAGTGCCACAGGGCAACCACATAAAATATTAAAATAGGTTATATACACCAAGGGGGGGAAAATACAAGGGGACGAGGTAGATCTATCATCTTGTCACCCGTCACATTTGTAAACTAGGTGAACGGAGGGAGTGAAAGGAAGCGAAATCCACACCCATAACACCGCCCCATATCTAGATTTCATCTACCCACCCCTATTTACTCCCAATCCTTTTCATCTCATATTTTACCCCTAGTGATGAATGGATGCTTCAACGCTTCTGAAGGTGTACACCTCTTCTCGGGATTGATACTTAAGCACCGATCCAACAGATCAATGAACAGCATGAGCTCCTTCCCTTCTGAATCACTCATACCTTTCGATCCTTTCCCCATCAACCTCGTCTTCAAATCCCTCGTCGGCTTCTTGAAGTCCAAGACTCTTGTCACCATCCGGCCGGTGACTTTGTCCTCTTCCACGCTACGGAAGTTCAAAAAGTCGTCAAAATGGAGATAGGTAAGAGTGCCTCGCCGGAGGAATTTGGGCGGGAGTTTTCCCCTGCATTCCATTATGGAGCGGAGCATTTGGTTGTTAGTGCGGCCTGTGAATAGAATCTTGCCAGTATACAACTCGAAGAGAGTACAACCAATGGACCACATGTCAATGGCATAATCATATGGAATTCCTAGAATTATTTCTGGAGCCCGGTAGAAACGGCTGACAAGGTAAGGGGTAATCTCGTTTTCAGAGGCGGGGGAGGCAGAGCCCAGATCGCATACTTTCAGTAGGTTTCGGTTTTCGTTGACGAGGAGGTTGTCGGGTTTTAGATCTGCGTGGAGGATATTGCATTTGCGGAGAAGGCTCAGGCCTAGGAACATCTGGTGGGCGTAGGCACGGATGGCTCTGAGATTAATGCCGACATCACGGCCAAACTTTTTTAGTACTTCGCGAAGATTCATGCTAAGGTTTTCAAACACCATGCAAAGATGGCCTTTGTGTTCGAAATGCCTCTCGAATCGGATGATATGTTTTTTGTCATCTGGATCTGCCGCCAACAACTGCTCCAATAGCTCTATCTCCTTCATGCCGGCCTTTCTCATAGTATCATTATTGCGAATGATTTTAATAGCGACGAGCTTTCCCGTTTTCGAATCCGTAGCACGAACCACTGAAGAAAACATACCCTTACCCAAATTTTGCTGCACATGATACCGCCCATCCACCAGCTCCCCCAACATGACAATATAATAACCTTCAGGGTCATCCCAGTTATCCATCATGCTCATGTCAAGTTCCTGTGGTACACTTGGCTTTGAAGCGACTTCGGGGGCTTTGGAGGTACTAGGAGCCTCAGCAAACATATCATCATCCGGCGCAAACATATCTATATCTAGAAGGTTTTTCGGTTTAACTTGGGCTGGGTTGTCTGTGTTTGGGCTGGGTACAAGGACATCTTGTTTCGCTGCTTTAGTTTCATCGTAAGCACCAGACGTTATGTCTTCCCCAAAATGTCTTTTATCGTGGCGCATCTTATCCTCTCTCATGTCTTGGGTTGGATCATAGTCCACAGACGAGTCATCCTTGTCAGCACCGTTGGTGATCACGACGTTTGCGTTAGCAAGATCTTCATCTCGGGAAACCTTTAGTTCAGTGGGCGATGGGGCGCCGGACGTATCCTCGGGCGTCTCTACAGCGGTACTAATATGCGAAACTGTAGATGAGTTAGCCTCAATTCTACCATCATTGAACTGGACATTTGACTGACCTGTTGCTGTATCGTTACGAGCCATAGGTTGACCTGAATTCTGTACTGTGGAGTCTGTCTCATTCCCAGCTTCCAGGGCCTTGACGATGAGAGGTGTTGACTGGTCGCGATACTTAGCTTTGATGGCTTCACGGCGCCTTCGGCGTTGCTCAATCAATGTAGCTTCGTCAACCGGTTCCGGCGGGGACCCGTTGGTGCCATGATCATTGTTTGAAGCCGGTGTACTAGGAGAGCTGTTAGGAATCATTCCGTAATTGGGAGGAGGGACATACGTATCCCATTGACCCGATTGAGCAGCGGCGGATGAAGACTGTTGCATCTGATTTCCTCGAGATTCAGCCTGTTGTCTCTCTTTTCGAGCGTCACTTGGGGACTTCCCCCTCTCGCTCACTAACTGTTCAGAAGACGGCCTCCTATCACCCATGTAGGGTTGGCCACTCCGGTCACGGGTTTTAGATAGTCTATCACTATCATAATCTCGTTCATCACCTGAATACTGCTTCGAACTTCTAGTATCGCGGAACGGAGATCTGCTTTGGGTCCTAGGGCGTTTTCTAGAATCATAATGACCATCGTCTCGGTCATGATCATAATACCCTCTCCTACGCCGTCTCGAAGTGTATCCGCTTTGATATCTATCATCGTATCTGGAAGCTAAACGGCTCGAGGGGATCGTCCGACGGTCCCATTCGGAGTCATAATCAACATCGCGTCTTCGGTTTTCGGTTCTGGATCCACGATATGGGGAGCGGGATCTTGTTCTCGATCTCGATCTCGATCTTTCACGGCGAAACGGTCTGGAAAGAGAATGGGGGGATCTTGGCGCAGAAATATTGGTTCTGGTATTACGGTCAACGTTGATGCCATTAACAGAAGTCTGTGACGTAGTTGCCTTCGTGTCTGAGCCTGACTCGATGATCTCACCCTCAGAAGGGGTCGATGGAGACCTCGACCGTCGTGACGCCATCCCGGCGATTATTTGTCTAATCTTTGTAAAAAGAAAAGAAAATAATAGTCTTTTTGTAGACTATTTATTTTTCCGGGAATAGCTTCGGTCAAACGCCGGGGGAGGGGGGTGAGCTTGTGGAAGTCGTGATATCTTCAGTTAGCAACAGTGTTCTCGAATTGTTCACAATGGCTTTGGGTGATGGTGAAATGCCCAACCCGACTAGAGATGTCCCCACAACACGCACGAACTACTAGAAGATACACATTCGACAGCTAAAAGGGGATAAAAAGGGAAAAAATGACCTCATATAGAGGTTTAAGATGATTGATGGTGTTGCGACGAAGGTTGCAGCTTGATGTCGGCAGGTAGAGACAGGTGAGAGTGGACGAGCCGTTTTGAGGCGAAAAGCGGCAAAATCGAGGCTTATGTAATAATCTAACCCTTTTAGGATCTAGCGTCGGACAGGAACCTTGAGCCAATCTCTGCAAGCATCTTCACACAATCTTCGAAGGCTGCTCCAGTGGAGAAAGTCGTTTTCTGAGAAGAGGATTCGTATTCTCTCTACTAATCTACCCATCCACTTATCCAAAGATATACCTAGTTCCATCTACAGCAGCTTGCAAAATGGGTGGAAGAGAAGGTGAGTACTGACTTCGCTCTCACTGGGCTCCCTTCCCCCGCCTGGGTACTGATATTAATTAACTCTTGTCTAGGCGGAAAGGCGAAGCCGCTCAAGGCTCCTAAGAAGGAGAGGAAAGAACTCGATGAGGATGATCTTGCATTCAGAGAGAAGCAGAAAGCTGGTACGGGCGACCCTAGTTCTAAAACTTTTCACGATGAATCGCTAGTCCCTTCTGGCACAGACTTGGACCTTGACTGTGCGACAAAACACAAATAACTAACTTCGTTTCCAGACGCCAAAGCCAAAAAGGAACTGGCGGATAAGGCGAAGGGCAAGGGGCCTCTGAACTCGGGACAGCAGGGAATCAAGAAGTCTGGGAAGAAATAAAGAGAGCAACATCCCACCAACACACGTATTCACACACATATCTACATCCATCAGCACCACCGGCCCGCTTGATTCGAACGAGATGAGGGCAGCTATATGAGGGACGAGCGTCAACTTCATTGCTTTGTGTGTGTGTGTGTGTGCTACAAAACCTTCAATTTACGAATAAACGAAATAGGTCGAGATCTGGAGTGATGGATAACGAAATGACGTCCTCTACCTTCGCGCAAGATACCCCTCGCAGTCCAAAACCGGTTCGACGCTGAGAGTACGGCTTCTTGTCTCTGCGAAGGGATATATTTTTTCTCTTAATTTTTAAACTTTTACATCTGGAATATCAAACATACCTTTTACCAATTCACATCCACCAGCAATCATCTTGATAGGGAACGAAGCAAAGTATCATATATACAGCGCGGCATGACGGAATGGGATAATAGGGTCATGATAAATCGTAGTTTCTCGCATGTACAGGGAGGAAAGGAGTTGGGAAGCCAGGCAAAATATAAAATAAAATGTATCATGGCTGTTTCTCTGGAGCCAGAAACAAAAGTGAAAAATGAAAAAGTCACGAGACGCAACAGACCGAGCAGCAGAGCGCCAAAGCAGCTAATAGCGCCCTTCTTATACTTATTGAAGAGTGGGACGAGATAAGAAAGTCAGAGAAGCCAGAATGGATGAATGGAAAGAAAAAACTGAGAACCCCTGGAGCTTCGTTGGCTATCAAGGAATAGATTACCAAAAATGTAGCCAGGTTTGGAGAAAAGGTATCATCTGGCCCAGCCATCATTTTTTTTTTAAAAAAAAAGAGAGAGAGAGAGAGAGAGAGAAGCAAAGCAAAAGAAAAGAACCAGAAAAAGAAAGCCGGTTCGAGGGCGGGTTGGAGTGCAAACGAGAATCAAGAAGGAAAGAAGGAATAATGAAACATGGTTAAGGGGGAGCCAACAAATTCCTCAGTAATCCTCAGTAACTCGTTTAACCCAGATACTCGACGGTTGATAATAATCATCTTGATCCTGCTTCTTCCTCGCCCTCATAAGCTTCATCCCCACATCATGTTCCTCCTTCCTAATCTCCGTAAGTTCATTGTTCAAGCTGCTGACCGATTTCTTGACCTCGCTCCTCGTCGCCAGGTCATACGCGATGGAGCTGGGTTGTATCACCTGCGTCAACTCATGGAGGATCGTGTTAATATTCGCCTTGCGCTGGCCGAGGTCGTTGAGCCGAGCCTCCATTGCCTCGATGCGGTTTTCGGCTTCCATCTCGGGAGGGCTGCGGGGTAGTGTCTTTGCGGATGATGTTGTGATTTCTGATGGTGTTGGTTTGCGCCTAGTGGCTTTGACGAAGGTTCGTGATGATATAGTTTCTGTCCTTTCCGTATGAACGGCAGGGAGGGCCGGGGCGTCTTTATCAGCTGTTTGAGCGCGTGGTGTTCCAGGAGGACTGCTTGGTGCTTCAGTTGTTGCATATGTAGTCGCGCTGAAACGGCTCGATAGCTGTTGTTCTAAAGTTATGTTTTGGAGCCTGGCAGTAAAGTCCCAGTTGGGAGCTTCGGGTTGTGTTGCCCGAGGGGTTTCGGATTGTGCTGGTGTCCCGCTGTTTACGGAATGAGAAGCAGGAGTTGAAGGAATTCTGGTAGATGCTGGGGTGTTGTTGGCTGCTTTTAATGGAACAATGGGTTTAATGGTTGGGTCATCAGGCACACTGCCTGCGTCTCTCGATTTAGATACCGTAAGAGGGGCATGTCCGCTAGCGGCATCATTGCGAGGGAGCGGTTTGCGTTCTACACCAGAGGCACTATATTTGCGAGGTTGGGTTTGAATACTTAGCGGTGGTTGTGGTTGGGGTGTTTTCTTGGTATCTATGGGTTTAACGATTGCTGCTCGTCCGCTTGCACCTTTCCATGGCTCTCGAGGGCGGGGTAACTGAGCGGGATCAGCTTTATCATTCTTATCAGCGTGGCGGCGCCCCTCCATCAACTTCCTCCTCGCTTGATTCAACTCTTTCCCTTTGGCTAGAAGATTAAACCCTTGTTTAGATGATTGTTTGATCGTCGGACCCTGCTGAGGAACAACGGCTCCGGGCCTGGCTTGCGCTACCTTGTCTTTCTCGTCGTGAGTGGGTTCTCCAGAAAAATCGTCCCATCTCGTACGCCGGTTCGATGCCTGGCTCGGAGATATTGGATTTAAGGTTGTAGATGGCGGAGACGATGCATGTGATTGAGATGGCGCGTGTACTGCGCTGGGTTTGCGATTAACATCTTTGAACGTTATGGGCACAGCACTCTGGAGCCCGCCTTCTCTAAGAGGTTCTCTATAAGGCGCTCTTGGAGGCGGAAACCGCGGAGGGTCATCGTCTATGGGAGATACGTCAGGACTCTCATGATGGCCAGTGGGCGCAAATACAGGAGAATCTGGCGGCGAAATATCGGTATATTGGCTCTCGCGGAACTCCGGTTGATAGACCTGGGAATTTCTTCTTCTTGGAGGCACGTTATAATCGGCTGACGACATGTTGCCTTCTACATGGGAATCGCGTTTTGAATATATAGAAGATGGTATTGGCGACCGGGAAGGGAGGTTTGATCTGCGCGAATCCGGCTCCATCGGCTTACTGACAAGTTCAGAAATGATGTATTAGTTTTAACCACTGTGCCTCGTAATGATGTCAATGTATAAGGATGTGGAAAAAGAGGCAGAGTTATAAAAACTGGGAATGCTCACAACGGCAATGGTGGTAGGCCTGGGCCATCGTCGCGATCACGCTGGTTGTAGTCGGGGTGGCCCTGAGGGTTAGTGGGAGAATTGAGAGTCGTCATGGTCTGCAGCGTCGTATTGTCGAGCGTAGTAGTTAGTAGCACGGGATTCCCAATCACGGGCCCTCTAGATCGTAGGTTTTTCTTCCACATTGTTGGTTCAAACAAGTATTTCTCTTTTGTCCTGCAAATTTGGTTAGAAAAGATAAACTGCAGTGTTTCAGGAGGATACCAGAAAGTACAAGAAATCGCCGGTTGCGGGCGCACATCTCTACCCCCGTAGGGGGGTTTCAATTCACGCATTTCTCCCGCGTACTATGAAGCAATGGCTCCAAGCCCCAGACCACAGAATCCTTTAATTTGGAGACAGACTGACCCATAGTGAGGATTATGCACTCATACCATACCTGGATATTTAGCCAATCACGGCGCGCAAAAAGCCCAAATAGCAGCCTATGACAAACAGCTATTTGCATGATTCAGCCTGCGGCCCTGCAGGCTGGGCTAAAATTAACTCAATTTGTCCAACAAAGCACTAATAAATCACAAGGGCGGCCAGTGTGGTGGTTCACGATGCGGAGTCAAAACTGAAGAAGTTGAGTAGATTACAACCCGATGCTAGACCCTTTAATGGTAGTAGTTTGTCAATTACCCAGAAGGTGTTGAAGCCCTCGCGATATATAGTTAGTTTCCATGGTAAAAGCTGGATGTCAAATGCTTGCCTTGGTTGCTCCCGAGGTCCACCTGAGCCCCAGTCTTGTCGCGGCCCCGTTTCAGGTCAGCCCCACGTGATATGGCTCCGTTGGTTGTGGAAGTTCCAGAAGCGAATCGTGGCGGATCCCATACCAATGTTGGTTCAACTTGGTTGCTTCAACTTGCCTTCCGACTTCCACACCAACAGTCAAACTCCCGATTTGCAGCTAGCTCTTGAAACTCAGTGCCGAGTGCTAGAGAATGGCGACAGGTATGTCCACAGCTGGCAGTAGTATTGGCTTCGACTTTGCTAACTCCCTCACTCCTCTCTCCTAGATACAAGTCCGCCCGCTGCTGAGGTGTAAGCTCCACCACCCACAGACCATCTTATCCCCAGCCCAGTTCAATGAATGGCCACAATCCGGAGACAACATAAAAACGCATGCCAACATTTAAATTGGAATTAACAGTAACAAAATGAACCAAATAAAAATCTAACAACAAACTAGAGCCTCCATCGCAACCCCAATAAACCTGGTCCTCCTCTCCCTCTTTGTCCTCCTGGTCTATTTCCACTTCCGCCCCCGAGAACCTCTCGTCCTTCCAAAAGGCCCACCACCGGTCGTCTTCCGCACCTTCACCCCAACAACCCTCCTCCCATTCAACGGCAAAGATGGTGCCCCTGTCTACCTAGCTGTTCGCGGACGGGTCTTTGACGTCTCGTCCGGGCGCAACTTCTACGGCCCAGTAAGCGCATTGACGACTAGATAGATATATATATATATATATCGTACAAAAACAAATCTAAACTAACCAATCCGTCACTCGTTACGTACAGGGCGGCCCCTATGAAAACTTCGCCGGCAGAGATGCCACTCGCGGGTTAGCTTGCCAGAGCTTTGACCAGGAAATGCTAACGAAGGACCTCAAGGGCCCCCTGGATGATCTGAGCGGGCTAGATGCGGATCAGATGGACAATTTGCGCGGTTGGGAGGAACGCTTTCTGGAGAAGTACCTTGTTGTTGGCAAGTTGGTTGCGGAGGGGGATCCGGAAGCGCCCAAGTCCGATTGAGAAGGTTACCTCTCAAATTGAGCTGAACGAGTGAGCGGAAAAATGGGTCCGTCTTTCAAATGACCGATATCATAGCTTTCTCTCTTGTGGGCATACAAAATGGACTGTCACTGTTTGCCGGGGTTTTTTTTTTTTTTTTTTTTTTTTTTTTTTTTTTTTTTTTTTTCTGGTTGACGACACCGCGGGATATATACACCAAATCAGAAAGCGACGTGGCAGAAGCAACGCTGGTTCTCGGTCTTGATGAGAGGGTTAACAAGACTCAGTTTTGAGTACATTCTAGGCAGCATATTATGTTCATCATTCAAAAGAAATAGCTAGGGGAAGCAGAGAAACCGCTGATCTGGTGACTAGTCGTATTATGAAATATACAAGGTAGAAACGGGGCTGGGTTAGATGTATGCATTGCATCAAGATCATGAACAGGCATTTTCATGAACATTCAAAGGCGACAACGAAGAATGAATATATTAATATAGGAAAATATCAAAATCAGAAGCCCTTCCTTTTGACTCGAAAGAAGATTTAACATATAATCTGCGTTTTTTTGGAAAGCACAATAGCGTAGCCAAACTCAAAATGTACGCGGGTTCATGGTAGAACAGCTGCGGGGTTTTTTCTCTGTAATTATCATTTTGTTTCCTTTTCTCCTTTTCTCATTATTTTAGTAAATTATACATATATAACTGCCGATTGTTCCATTTCAGTTAACCATGACAGACAGACGAAACAAGATGGAAGGATAAACTGCAAACTGCAGAAATACATACGTATGGGAAACGAATATTTTGACAAGGTGGAGAAAATAGAACAAGCGACCAAAAAAAAAATCACAAGAAAATCAAAAGGAAAAGACCGCGTTAGACGTTATTTCAACTAAGACAACCCCTATTAATCCTTCTGCAGAGCACCCATGCTTTTCACTCCTATTCCAGGACAGGGAGGGGGAGTTTGAAGTGTTTCTTTAGAGTTCATCGGTCACTCGCTTTACACCCTGGGAAGCCTTTTCCTTCACAGTATCAGCGGCCTTCTGCCCTTCCCTCCTGCCACTCAGCGCTCCTATTTTCAGCTGGTGTAAGACCCACTGCATACCACCTTGCAATCGAGAGAAGATCGTTGCCTCCTGTGCGAGTTCTCCATAGCGGAAGAAATCAGCGTTCCGCTTCGCTTCCTCGCGCAGTCTATTAATATCCCAGCTCTTATGGCCTTTAAGACCGTATGACTCGAGATATTTTTCCAGATCAACCCGGGGCCAAGTGTCAAATGCAGCATCCTTGGTTGCAGCAGCTTCCTTTGCCAAATAGTTCGTGACGGCAGCGAAGTCTGCTCCACTGGTTTTAGAAGCCTGCTCGTATGCGGATTTTGCCCTTCTCATGAGTTCGTCGCGGGTGTATTCAATGTTTCCCATCATTTGCTGATGCTGGGAGGACAGATATTTCCTAAATGACAGAACGTTAGCGTTTTGCCTACAAAGCTTGATAAGAGGAAGGAGCCATTTGCTCGTACCCTAAATTCTCCTTGGTCCAGGTATCAAAAGTCCAAGCAGAGTATCCGGTTATTGCCTTGTGCCTGTTGAGGCGTACTCTGGCGAGGAGTTCATCTCGTTTCGTCGCCTGCGGCACCGGTACACCACGCGCATCCAAATAAGCCTTGAGACGTGAGTCAGACCATTTATTAATGGCAGAATTGAACATATCTTCCGCTTTCAGTTCTGCGTCCTCCGTCGCGCGAGCAAATTCGTTTCCAGCATTTGAAGTCGCTGCACCAAATGCACTTGTGAGAGAAGCAGTGGGGTCTTGCACCAAAGAAGCGCGATGTTTGCGCGCAAGGGCAATAAGCTCGTTGCGTTTCGAACCCTGAGGGACTTTGATGCCGTGCTTATCGAAAAATTCTTTGAAGTCAGATTCTGACCAGGCGTTGAACAGGGCTTCCGATAGGGTTCTCTGAGCAGCCTCAGCCGATGAAGAGGCAGACGAGGCAGCACGTTGAGATTCTAGACCAGCAATACGTGCGTTTCGACGTACGCTAGCGATCAGCTTGTCTCGAGTTGTTGGTTGGGGCACATTATAGCCACGGCTGTCGAGGTATTCCTTTAAGTCCGATTCTGACCATTGCTCGTAAAGCCAGTTCCCAGGGTAGAGTGTTGTATGTCCAAGCTTTTGGGCAATGGCTTCGTAGTTTTCTCGTACTGCTGCCAATAGCTTATCACGTTTGCTTGACTGTGGGCTAGCAATTCCATGTCTGTCAAGGAAGGTTTTCAATTGGGAATCACTCCAGCTACATAAATGGTCAGATTAATGTTTAGCCTAGCAAGAATTTGAGAAACGCATACGTATCAAAAATCCACTCTTTCGCATCTCCCAGAGATTCGGATACATGTTCTGCTGTGTGCGTGATAGGAATGTGGATCCGCGACTCCCAATTCGATTTTACCAGTTCTTCAAGATCCTTTCTATCAGCCGGCGTGGGATATGGGATATCTGTAGAGACATTAGTCAACTGTCTTTGGTTTTATCAAGATAGTGAGTGGAACTTGCCATGGTCAGAGAGCCAACGTTCAAGCTCTGTTTCGTGCCATCTGTTGTATACTATAATAATTTCATAGTTAGTTCTTTGTAACTTGTAGCAGGTTCGTAGTATACCACAACTTATAGGCGACAAACGAGAACAAAACAAGCGCAACACAGAGCGCGGCACATCTCAAACAGCATCGGGTTAAGACCATACCAGCTTTACTGAACCAGTTCCTCGAACCCGCCGTTTCTGTCACGGCTAAGGTGATCACAAGGCCCAAAGACCATGAGAATCTCATGTTGGTGTTTCAATGAACACTACGCGATATCAAGGGTGCAGTAAGTCAGTGATCACAATAACAGTGTATGAAAAGCAAAAAGGATTGGCCTGAAATACTCAATTACTCAATGTAGAGCAATACAAGGGCCCTTTACGTTGCCAACTAACAAATGACCTTTTTGATGGAGTTAAGTTAACAAAGAGCAGGCGACATCATCTCTGGAATATATGGGCAAAGACGAAAAAGCAGGTGTTGGGACCCCTATGACACTGGTGTGACGTAGTGGATGCAAGACCTAATTTTATGTGTTGGCCCTGCCTTGCAGCTGCTTTCCTGAAAGATAAGTTGAAGGTATGCACCAAGCCTTTAAAAAACGTTGTTTCATGCCTGCTAGATCATCTTCATTGGCAGAACAGCTCTCTTTTGGATTGCTCTAAAAGCCAATGAAGAGATAATTGAGCATGAAGCTGTAGTAAAGTTGCTCTCCTGGCGTCTAGCGATAACCTTCAGATAAGAGATTATGTAATTACTTTGGCGCTCACCACAAGCCAATCAGTGTTCGTACATGCTGCATCTGACCAGCGCTTGACATGACCGCATGTGTTGGGCATCATCTCTCTCACCGTGTTCGATTTATTCTGCTCATCAGCCTCTGCGACATAATGATGTGACAGATATCCGTTCGAAGAAGCACGTATACGTTGAGACTTCACCTTATCCGTCACTAGAATCTAGAATCCCAGTTGCCTGACACCAACATCCTCAAGAAGCTCATCATGAAAGAGACAATAACCCCCCATTGCAAGGCGCTGGCATCGCCAAATCCTTGGAATTTTGCTCTTTCGCTGTAAGTATTAGCTAGTGTGACCCTGAATTTTAAGGCCCTTTCACTGACATATGATGTGCTTATCATAGATGTATCCTGTTGGGCATTCTCCTCTCATATCTACCTCAACATTACAGAATTATATCGCGACGATCTTCCTTTGGAATATCCCCATATTTTATTCTATTAGGAACTACATCGGGGACATTTTCTTTTGCAAATATACTTGTGCTCCCAAGAAGTGGAGCGGACATTGCTTGCTGCAAAGAGATTAATGGATTCTCCTGTTTTGCTGGGCTGTTGGGCATATTGCAGGTCGGGGTCCAAGCGCTTTGCTTTACAATAATGTGAGATGAAACCGTACCTTCTTATCCGTATTCCTCCCGCCAAAAGAAGATGGATACAACTTAGTGGCTCATTGGATATACTAAAACGACCGAATATTTAGCCTTTTCCTTTTTGTCATTTACTTTCCGCGCTCGACCCCTGCCATTCTTAGCAAACCCTCATCCCCCTCCTTCAGAATAGCCCTCATAGTCGCTGCAATATGCATTCTTCAGACAATCGCAACGGCCGTCGTTGTCATAATTATTGTCGTTGCACATTCAGACCAGCGTCAATTTTGCGCAAATATTTTCGGCATCTGCGCAGCCGTCCTAGCGTCCATCCAGTACTTTCCCCAGATCTATACGACCTTCCGTCTCCGTCGCGTCGGTAGCCTGAGTATTCCGATGATGTGCATCCAAACCCCAGGTAGTCTAGTTTGGGCGGCTAGCCTAGCAGCACGTCTGGGTACGGAGGGCTGGAGTTCATGGGGGGTGTACGTGGTCACAGCCCTGTTGCAGGGAACGTTACTCATTATGGGGATCTATTTCGAGTATGTCAATCCATCGAAAGCAGAGACCGATGTAAGCCCCGGGGATGCTCCGGGAACGGAATCTAGGGCCAATGGGATCGTGGCTCATCGCGACAACGAGAACCATCCTTCCGAAGAGACCCCGTTGCTGCAGAGCACTGGCTAGCTTTATGTGGGCATTCGATTTGATACCTATATAAATTGATGTGTTACTAGCTTAAACACTCCATATAATACCATTTTGTACAGAATCCTTCGTTCTCCGTGGTTTCCCTGCGCTATTTCTTTGCTTGCTTTGAGCATGGCACCGCAATGATACAATGCGAAAAATAGCTCGGATTTATCCAAGACAGGAACAAGTGCCTCATCCATTTTTCTCTAGGACGTAATGTCGCTTTTTTCCATTGACAATTTTGGTCAGTTATTCAACGAACCAACAACCCGCAGTAAGGAACGCCGAAGAATAAAAATGGAGACCGCCCAGCAGAAGAAGACCCATCGAATTAAATGGAGACCGCCCATCAGAAGAAGACCCATCGAATTAAAAGCGGACCAGTCCATGCCATGTGAGAATCCATCTTCAACAGGTAAAGCATAACTGCTTGCCCAATCTCTTTAGCACGGATCTCTCATCCAAGATCACTCCCAGCAATCCTCGCATTATTTCCCTCGATTCTTGAATTGCTCAACTTCTTCCTCCAACGATCTAAACTCTCCCTTGTTATCAAGTTGAACATAAGCCCTATCATACCTCTTCTCCATATCCTCGTTATGCTTCCTTACATCCTTCTCAGTTTCTTTTTGTTTCTTTTGGTCCTCAGGGCTTAGCTCCTCTTTCGAAGGACGTTTGGGATGCTGCGGATCGGCGCCGCTGTGTTGATATTCGTCACTAAGCGTGGGATGAGCCTTGTTGGATGGAATCCGGTGCTCGAACTCTTCTGAGAAGGATTCTGGTTCCGAGCGCTCGGGAGGTGGTTCATGTTTGCGGTGGTAATGTTGGTTATCTTTGTACATATGGGATCTGGTTAATTATCCAAATTCCTTGTTGGGATTTGTAAGTGTGGAAAAGCGGGAGGGAGTCACTCACCACTATCATCATCCCCGCTACCATATGCGGCGCCCTTCTCCTTCCCCTCTTTAGTCGATGACGCTTCGGAATTGGCATATCTTCTTACCCCCCTTCCATCCTGGAATCCAAGTTGATATGATGCCGTCGCTGGCGAGAACCACTGCGAAGAGGTGGCTCGTGATGGTTGCAGCCTCAGCCGCGGGATGACTGTTCGGGGTAGACGATGCATTCTGATATGGCTTCTTCTCCCTTGTTTCGGGTTTTTGTTCCACAGCCTATGCTCTTTAATTTCCGACTCCTGCAACCCTCAACGTCTCGAGACAATAAATATGTTCGCGGGCAAGGGAGTTCTGCGCCGAAGGCTTCTTACTTCTGATGGAATTTATGTAGCTGTTGGAGCTGGGTAGAAATGTTGAACGAGGTTGGAGATTCAACAGGGGATTTCTGTTTGCTTTTTACCCTTCTTTCTACTCGAGTCCACAAAATAAAAAGAGGATCATCCGGCGGGTATGGTTCTGTATCCTGCACATATGTGCTTGACGTTAATACCAATAACCCCCATGAGGTCAAGTATTTACCTAGGATAGCTGGCCTAGTTCCCCGGCAGTGACGTAGTGTATGGAGCAAGAATCGTTGCTTTATCAGGTAGACCTTCCCTGGCTCTGTTTCCCTGTGTAGTGAAGTGCGTAATAAAGCTGAGTACAAGCCCTGAATAATTTTTCCTATTTGAGAAATATTGGGGCCCCTCCCTTTCTACCCCCAATATATATGGTAGCAGTGACGTCAGTGTTGGTATCACATTCATGAAGTACTACTGTACGTTGAGACAACATATATTAAGGTACATGGTTCTAACATGGAACGCCACACTCCAAAGGGAATACTAGACATTCAGCTAAACGGGAGCGAAGTATCGCCAGATATCCTATTAAGTCCCTGGGTAATGAAACGCCATCCATATCAGGAGGCAGTGACTAAGGTGCCCAGTTCCCTCTATTCGAAATAGGAGATTGTTGGTAGGAAAGGGGCACTGTAAACCTATGAAATCGTGAGAAGTAGCAAACTTTACCAGACAGATCTGTGTTCACAAGCAATGACGTCACTAGCAGGCATATTCAACATTTCTTTAACGATCTGCCCCAGCGAAACTAAAGGAATTCTGAAGTCTTTGAGATTTCATATGTTGCATTCCGTTTCTGACTCATTGCCATACATTGATTTCCCTAATATTTCAAGTCTGAAATCTCAACAGATTGGAGAAAGGAGCGTTTCCCTCGACATCTAGCCTAGGGGGAGTTTGTCCTCCACAGCACCATAAGCCATTCACCTCATCTTAATTGTAAGCCGCCATGCTGCGATAAAAATCTGCAATTGCTTTACACGAAAAGTCTGTCGCTATTTAAGCATCTCTCTGGAGTAGTAGCCGGGAATCATGGCATACGCTGCTCATCTGCGAAGAATGTTCGGCGCCTGCTCCTGCGCCCGCTCACCTCAACTTAAAGTATACGGGGAGCAAATTGGCGACGGTTGTGCAGGAACCGAGGAAAGATGCAATAACTGAAGACCTGGGTGACTTTTACGGGCAAATATGCTATGTTTCCATCATCCATTTCGCCGGCTGAACTACAGACTCAGGGACGAATGAGTACACAGGTAGTGTTGCTGGGGAATCAGTTTGTGGAGCCAGAATACCATATCTCTCTTCTCTCTATTTATCTCTCTATTTATTATAGAAAAACTAACTTTTCCATGCAAAAAACACTGTAATGTGACATCATGTGCACCTTCATCAAAAATATTTGAATGCTCAGATCTGCTCTCCGGCTCATACAGCTCAGGTCAATCTTCAATCTTCAATCTTTTTTTCATTCTACTCTTTTCATACATTCTCTATAGTATTTACATTCTTTATACTCTTCTCTGTGTTCATGGCTGCTAAATGCCCTGTAACATGATCTCATGTGATGTGCATCTCTTTGAATTCATGAATGAGATTGAACAGCCAGCTCTGCAGCCTGTACAGCTCTGATTAATCTGATAATGGTGATAGGGGTGATACAGGGTGAAAGAGGGCGGTAGAGGGGGTAGGGGTAGAGGGTGAAAACGGTGGTGGTGGTAGAGAGAGTAGGGGGTGAAAGGGGTAGTAAGAGGGGGGTAGGAGTAGAGGGTGGAAGTGGTAGAGAGGGCTGCGCAAGCAGCAAACGAGCGTAAGCGAGCGTTTGATGCTTGTACAGTACTTATATAATAATAGCAATCACTAACTAAATAAGTGTGATGCAAAGCTTGCTTGATTGAAGATTGCTAGCTAAGTGAGAAGGAGGATTATTAAGCACGGGCCATAGTTAACTAAGTTAAGGTCGGTCCGACACTACTAGGTAAAAGTTATGGATAACAAAAAAGGTTATCTCAGCGGGCTCAGACCCTCTGGCTCGGTTTGAGCGGGTTGCAGCATTATTAATCCAGCATGAGTCCTAGACTGGCCGCCGGGACCATGAATTTCACATTTGGTCCCATTTGATCTGGTCTCATACATTTCTTGATGTGAATCCTGCTGAGACTAGTCATTAAAAAAACATGTAAAGTAACTATATATGAGATCTTAAAATGAAATCATGACTTGAAAAAAATGAGAAAGTGATCTCATTTGATTTCATTTAGTCTCATTCTTAATATAAAGTTACTATTTTTAGATATTTTAAGATTTTTTTTAGACTATTTTTAATTTTTTAAAAAGTAATGCTTTTTAATAATATTTAAATAAGATTTAAAGTTATTTAAAGTAATAAAAATAATTTAAATTAAGAAGTAAAAATTATAATCTTATTTAAAAAATATAATAAGAGTAAATAGTAAGTCTCACTGAGATAGTATAAGATTACTATTTAATATTAAAACTGTATAATGAAATTAGTTAAATTAATAATAAGACTATTAAAAAATCTGATTCTGATCTCAGATACAGTATTATATCTTCAGCTGTGTCAAGACTCTGCTGCGGTTTTACATAGCTTATTACTTTTATACAGATAATTTCATCTTATCTGAACTGATTTTCAATCACTTTATAACATTATTCAGATATATTATAGAAAGATCTGATTAATAAATATAAGAACTCTGCTTTTATATAAGATTAGTAGATTACTCTTTCTTAATAGTGAGATACTACTGAGATATCACTCTGACTATTCTCACTTATAGAATAAGAGAAGAGTATTCACTTATTATCTATATAAAATAGCTAGATACTGACTTCTTATTAAAAAAGTCAGTGATTCATTTTTCTACTACTGAAATATATATAAGAGTTACTGTATTTCTTATATAATTTTCTTAGTATACTAAGTATTATATCTGTGATATTCTTATAATAACTCTGTAGTCTATAAGCTCACTATTTAAGTAAGATAGTTAAGCTTATTTATATAACTTTTTAAATAACTATCTCTATATAACACTGTTAACTAGTCATCACTTTAATTTTATTATGTTACAATTTGAATCACTTAATCTGATTATAAGTTTGAATCAGTCAAGCTCTAATAGACTGATATAATCTTATATATTTATACTGAGACTGATCTGATCTCACTCTCTGAAAGAAACTCTACATTATTCTCTAGAGTGTATACATCTCTATTTTAGCAGAAATCTGAGATTTCTGAATCTGCTACATACTTTGACATGAGTTCTTTAACTGTTCTGTTATTATCACAGTCTCTACACATCTATGTCTATTATGAAGATAGAGAGATTAAGATCAGAGATTCTCTAAGATATAAGAAAAACATATTATCTGAATTTCACAGCTTTATTCATATTCTTGAACAGAAATTCTGTCTTAATCTGAGCTAGTATAATACTTATAAGATATAAGTAATATACACTGTCAACCTTCTTAAAGACATCTCTGTAACTACTTGAGTTATTAAGAAGAGAAAGCTTGAGTGTACTGAGATTACAATAACTTAAGAAGAATTTAAGAACTTTCTACTAAATTAAATTGAAGATTACTGTAACTGCAACTTCATAGTAACACAGTAGTTCAACTTATTATATTAATAAGATAATGAGAATTCTTTTAATTTCAATATAAGATTTGAAGAATATTAAGAGAAATTGACTGATGATTTGAATCAATTAAAGATATAGCTTTATCTTATAAAGCTGACTTATAAGATGTGAACAATGATATTACAGTATCAGAGTTTATTAATTAATTACACTGAGCTTGTCAATCTAGCTTCTCAGATCTATTTGAATAATCAATTCTCTGAGAAAAAGATTAATAAGACTTCTTCTAAGTAATTAATAATAAGATCTAAACAGTGCTGTGACAGCTTCAGTATAAAGAAAGTAAAGAAGAATTTCAAGTATTCTGATTCTTTACTCACTGTAAAGAAATATTAAAAAAGATTTGATAAAGATCTCTATTTTAACTGCAGAGCTGATAATCACTATATCAGTGATTATAAGAAGTCAAAGAAGAGAAGAAACTGAGAAGATATTTTCTTAAAGTTAACTTCTCTTCTGACAAATATATTCAGAGAAGATAAAGAAGAGAAAGAAATAAAGAATTAATAATTCTTATATCTCTAAGTCTATATTACAATCACAATGTATATCTTAAATAAGAAGATACTAGTAAGATATCTACTTAACTCTGAGATGAATATTAACTTCATATTCTATTTCTTTTCTTTAATGAAGAATTGAAAGAAGATAGATCTGTCAGATTATACAAAATTTATTAATGAAATAAAATATCACTGTTTTAATATAATTCAAGTAAAGTGTGTGATCACAGACTTAGAAGAAATCTTTAAGAAGAGCAGTCTGCTTCTTTATACAGTTAATATTATAGATGAGAATATTATTCTAGATCTTCTATAATTGAGAGAAAACAATTCTCTCATTAACTGAGTTACTCAGATGTGACAGTACTGTCTCACTAATGAAAAGACAGTGATAGAGAAATCTGAAGAGTTTCATTGAAAGAATCTTAAGAAAAAGATAGAGTTGATATACTGTATAGTAGATAACTGAGACTTAAGAATAGATGAAAAAGCTATCACTCTCACTGTAAGATTAGCAGCAGTATTCATTATTAAAGACAGATATATATAACATCTTTTTACAGATTATAAGAATGTCTTTTCAGAAAGAGAAGTAGTGAAGTTTTCTGATACTAAGATATAATATAAGATTTATCTTGAAGATAGTATAATAGTATTATACAGATCTCTTTATAACTTATCTATAAAGAAATTGAATATTCTGCATAAATATCTTGAAGAAGCATAATTAAAGAACTGAATATATTCATTAAAGAGTTCAGCAGAAGTATTCATACTCTTTATACTTAAGAAAGATGATAGACTACATCTATGTGTAGACTACAGAGGTCTTAATAAGATAATAGTTAAGAATTACTATTTATTACTGTTAATTAATAAGATGATCAATTAATTATCTAAAGTAAAGATGTTTACAAAGATTGATATACAGAATATCTATCATAGAATCAGAGTTAATAAAGATAATATTTAAAAAATAACTTTTCATACTAAGTACAGTAATTTTAAATATCTTGTTTTATCTTTTAATCTTTATAATACTTCAGTCATCTTTCAGATCTATATAAATAAGACACTGTAAGGCCTTGTCAACATCTTCTGTATAGTATATCTGAATAACATTCTAATTTTCTCAAAAACAGAGAAAGAATATAATACTCATGTTTAAGAAGTATTAAGTTACTTAAGACAGTATTAACTCTATATAAATACTGAAAAATGCTCATTCTACATGCAGGAGATTGATTTCTTAGATTATATTATTAAGATAAACAGCATTTCAATGAATAGAAGCTGAGTCTCTGTCATTAAGAACTGATCAGTGCTGTAAACATACTGTAAGATGCAGATGTTTTTAGAATTTGTAAATTTCTATAGATAATTCATTTATATATATTCATAGATTACTGCTTCTCTTACAGATCTGTTAAAGAGAAGTGTGAAAGACTGAAAAATATAACTGTTTACTCTTACTCAAGACACTGTGCAGATGTTTACAGAATTGAAACAAGCTTTTACAGATATTACAATACTGAATCACTTTAATCTCAACTTACTCAGTCAGTGTGAGACTGATATATCTGAGAATGAGATCTGTGAAATCTTTTCACAGTTGATATTAGAGATCTTTCAATATTGAAAGAATTAGAGAATAATCATCTCTAAAGATATAGATAATGAAATATCTGTAAGAGAAGACTTTTTCACAGAGTCTATAAGATACTGTGAATAAAGATCAGTGATCTTCTTCTTCAAGAAGTTATCACTTATATAGAGAAGATATAATACTCATAATTAAGAGATATTAATAATTATCAAATTCTTTAAGATCTGATGATATTATCTTCAGAGTAGTAAGTACTCAGTGTAAGTTCTCACTGATTATACAAATCTGCATTACTTCTTGACAATAAAGAGCTTGACAGAATATCAAGTCAGATGAGTGAAGCTGCTTTCAAAGTATAATTTCTATATTTAATACTATTTAGATCAGCTTAACTCTGCTGATACATTATTTAAATAATCTAATTATAATATTGTTAATGCAGAGAAGAATTCTATAAAAGAATCTCTGTTATTACTACAGAAGAAGCTGACTGCAGAGAGTTAAGATTCTCTGAAGCTCAGAAACAGTGCTGATAAGACAGCTGTATA